CTGTAAAAGGCGGCCCCGTCCAGGAAACACACAGCCAGGCAGACGAGCTCCAAGCCAGCTCCCATGTCAGAGGACGAAGAGAGCACATCCACTCAGTCAGAGAAACAGGACTACACTGGAAAACAGGCCGATCTCCAGCATCTATAAACAAGCGTTGCCTTTTCTTTTTAGGGCTTTCAGCAGAAAATTGCACAAATTGCCAAGGCAGCATATTTCTCTCTACTAAGCTTTATATTCTACTAATATCTACTAATTTGGCCTCTGTAGAGATGAGCCAGAGTAACGGCCTTCTCACTGCTGAGCTGAGTCAGATGTGGTCTTCTGACGTACAGTGTGAGCGGGTAGATTGCATGAGAGTGTCGGATCGCACAGTGTGAGAACATACAACTTTTAAAGTCTGCGGTTTCGTCGTACAATGTGAGCTGTAGCTGGGTGCAACGATTGAAAATATTATACAGTGTATTCCCGGCTGTAGGAGTGATGGAGCGGACACACTGAAAGATGAAAGTGACCTGTTCATGAGGTCTAATGTCTGCATTGGAGGCTGACTAAAATGGGATTTGTAAAGTTTAGAAAACCAAAATGGATCTGTGTTCTTGGGACTAACATTAAGCTTTTTAGCAACACAAAGTAAAAGACGGGTTGCTACTGCTGAGTATAGTGGAGAACCAGTGATGCTATGGGCCTGTCTGACAGCCTTGCTTAGTAATGCATGATAAGATGACGTTCCTGCAATGCTGGCACATTTAAGCTGAACACCTAGTGGCCTCTACAAGGAAGCTAAAAACTGTTCATCAAGCAAAGCGCATTTAACATTAGCATGTGAAATGCTACTGAAAAGGAGCTGGTGATTAAACATTTTTAGTTTGATGATACCCATCTTTCATTTCTTTTTAAATAAACAAATGAACTATTTCTTAAGATGAGGGGCGTTAAACCTTGTTAAATCTATTTTCATATATTTAGATGTGGGCAGTCCCATATGGTTCTGATGGAGTTATGTCCTGGTGAGATTGTTCTCATCCTTTTTGCTCCATTAAACATCTACAGCTTAAAGTGTGTCAGATTATTCCATCTCAGAATAATAGTCCCCTTTGCTCTATGTCACTGCTTGTCGCTCACAGTTTGTCCCATTTGTCCCACATCTGCTCACCTCTGAGACTGGATAGGCGTCAGCCGGCTTTGTGGAGGTCCAGATTGGATGATCAAATGTCCCGAACAGCTGATTCGTCCCTGATGATCAACAGCAGATTCATAATCAGCCAGAGCGTCAAGAAGGGAGGCATTGATGGAAGAAGAGGAAGGATGAAGTCATACCTGTGGGTTGGCTGCCATGATGGTGTAGTTTCCATCATCGTCACTGGTGGTGGACTCGATGTGTAAGGAGCAGGTCCCGTCACCTTCTCTTATCTTCTGGTAGTGAGTGTTCTTCTTCAGGATCTGTTTGCCATCCTTGAACCAGTAAACCTGATCAGGAACAAATATGTTTGTGAAAACAAGAAGAGATGAGGGGCCCGACAGGTACGAGTGGGTTCTGTTACCGTCTCACCTTTGGAGGAGGGACCCCCAAAACTTTACAGCTGAAAGTTACGGGCACGCCTTCCATGGCCTTGTAGTTCTTCAGCTTCTTGTCGAAGAGCGGCGCGATGCATTTCCCAGTGGGGATGTCGTCGTGCTGCACCTCATCGTCCGACTCCTCCACCGGCGTCCGCTCTAAACGGAACTCGATCTCACTCATCAACCGCTGCTCGAAATTGGACACTTTGTACTCCTGGAAAAATTTACGCCACCATGTCCGAATACTCCAGGTTACTGCATGATGTGTTTGTTTTTACGACAAATCTGTCTAAAAAAACTGATACTGCAGCCCCATGCAAACACGTTTCAAACAAAAACACGACCGAGAAACAAAGGGCATCCGTTCAAAACACGGGGTCAGAACTTTTTCACAGGTCAAGTCAAGTAGGTATGGAGGACCAACTCTGCCATATTTAAAAATAAATACAGAAATGAATAAATGCTCAATAAATATATAAGCATACAATTAATTGCCAACAAAAATACAATCAACAAATAAATGTAAGTAGAAATTAAATTATACAGTGAGACATAACAGTATATAACTCTTTTAATTAGCTTCTTTATTTATTCGCCTTTGTAATATTTACCTTATTTATTTTTTTGTTCTTTATATATTTTTTTTTTTACATTTCTGCCTGCCCTCATTTCTGCCTTCCCTTTTAACATTTCTGCCTTCCCTTTTTTCATTTCTGCCTGCCCTTTTTACATTTCTGCCTTCTCTTTTTACATTTCTGCCTTCCCTATTAACATTTCTGCCTGCCCTTTTTACATTTCTGCCTTCCCTTTTTACATTTCTGCCTTCCCTTTTTACATTTCTGCCTTCCCTT